GAAAAACTCTTCGATAGGGTTTAGAAACGGAGAGTATGGTGGAAGGTATAGTACTGTCAACTGTGGATGGTGTTGAAACCAGTTCTGGACCAAAGCAGAGCGGTGGAATGACACATTGTCCCAGATGACAGTGTATTGTATCTGGTGCATTTCATTACCTGCTGTGACGATGTGGTGCAATCGGTCCAAAAATGCGAGAATGTGAGGTGTGCTGTAAGGGCCTATGATGCCACTGTATATCTGCTAAGATTTGGCTGAATAGAATAGAAAGTGGCTGTATGAAAAGAGCCAAAGCATTGAAAATCCCCATTTCCACCATCAGGGCAACAATTAAGAAGTTCCAATCAACTAAAGATGTTACAAATCTGCCTGGAAGAGGACGTGAGTCTATATCGTCCTAATGCACGGTGAGGAGGAGAGTTTGAGTGGCTAAAGACTCTCCAATGATCACAGCTGGAGAATCGCAGAGATTAGTTGAGTCTTGGGGTCAGAAAGCCTAAAAAAAAAATCAAACAGGCCCTACATCACCACATGTTGTTTGGGAGGATTTCAAGAAAAATCCTCTTCACTCATCCAAAAACAAACTCCAGCATATTCAGCTGTCAGACACGATTGGAACTTCGAACGGGACTGGCTTCTATGGTCAGATGAAACTAAAAAAAGAGCTTTTTGGCAGCAAACCAGCAGATGGGGTTGGTGCAAACAGGGATAAAAGGTACCTCATGCCCACAGTTAAATATACTGCTGGATCTTTAATATTGTGGGCCTATTTTTCTACCGGAGATCCTGGACATCTTGTTCAGATATTGGCATCATGGATTCTATCAAATACAAACAGATAAAAAAATCTAACCCCTTAACTGTCACCCCACATTTTTAAAAATAGGCATGCAGGTGCACTATCCAAACTTAAATTGTTGTAATTTATGAACACTTTGTAATACAGACATAAGGCATTTTTAGGTCTCTTTTTAAAGAAAAAAAATCAGCAGATTATCGCAAAAGTGGAATTTTTAAAAATAATTAAAGTATAAAAAAGTTATGGTAGTTTAAATTTACTGTAAAGAAAATGCACTATATTAATTTTATTTTATATATATAATAAATATTTTACATAATAGGTTTTACTCTAAAATTAATATAAAATTAGTATAATTTTATTAGTATAAAATTAAAGCCTTATGTCTAAATAAGTTATGTTCCAAATTTGAAGTTGATATGAAAAAACGTGAGGTTCCTGTGAGATTTTATTTAGGGTGTTATACCACAAACAGCCACCGGGTGCCATCCAAACTCCATTGAATTTTTTTAATGCATTTTTCTGTCACAAATGTCTAGATTTCTCTGTCAATATATAGAGTTCTCTGTCAATACTGTACTTCTATCTCAAAATAACCACCAAATATGGAATCCTGAGACTCAGACCTTTCCATTGGTATGTTTTTTGTCAAGACTATAAAAAGGTTTGGTAATGCATTTTGTAATATGACACTTGACACCGCCCACTAAGGGGGAGGAGACCGCCAAAAGATTTTAAAGTACCATTTCCATGGTAACGCAATGTCCGATTTCAAAATGGGTTTCACAGGATGAATCTTGGGCTTCTAAGCTTTCAAATGATATATGATTTATGACGTTTACTAAAAAGATTTGATAGAGAAAATGGACAACAAAAAAAGAGCGCCAAGCGTCCCACAGGTGGGACGGTGACAGTTAAGGGGCTAAACCTGACTGCCTCTATTTAAAATCTTATAATGGGTCGTGGTTGGATCTTCCATCAGGACAATGATCCATTACAAACATCAAAATCAGCACAAAAATGTCTCACTGAGCACAAAATTAAGCTTCTGCCATGTATTTTCTGTTATAATGGAAAATCTAAAATTAGTACAATTTTTAGAGCTGAGTAACTTGACATGATTACATTTTTTTTTGCCTGCCAAATTTCAGTGACATGGAGACTTGTATGTCATTATAAATTGTTAAAATCTTAGTTTCGAACCATTTGTCTTGTAACATTATTTTTGTCAGTTTTACTCTATTTCCAGAGTTTGAGAGAGAGAGAGAGAGAGAGAGAGAGAGAGAGAGAGAGATTCAAAGTGATTAAACTTTGATTAAAAAGCCAGTAACTGAAGTTTTCAATTTTTGTGGCTTCAAACTTCTATTCCTAATTCGTAAGTCTAAATGTCAGTTTTTGCTGCCCACAAACTTACTGAACTAATCCAAACCATATTAAAATGGAGATTTATTTAACATTTATTCTAAGTAAATATCATATCTATTCCACGAGTAGATGGGCCACGCAGTGCTGAGCAGGAAATATTAAAGATCAGCCGGGAGATTATACCTGGATATTGAGATTGTATCTGCGTCAGGATTCACAAACTTACTGGAGACAGAGGGAGGGGCAAAACTGAATTTGCCCTGCAGTTATTAGGTGTCATTCATTTAGTTAGTGCCTCTGAAAGGTCGAGGTTGTCATTCGACGGCGAGGTGCAGACAGGCATGCAATGGTCTATTGATTTTCTCAAATGCGCTGTCGGAGGCTTAAACTTTAGGTCTGACAGAGGATGTCAAAATAGCAGACTGCTGTAGCCTAAGTACTTTCAGCATTTGACACAGGAAGAACAGATTGAAAAATGTGCTAAATTTAAGAGAAGATGCAGCATTGCGATCATGATATTGCATTTTAAGGCAGCATATGTTTTGTGTACATTAATAAAATGCTGTAAACAGAGTGCTTAAGATGCATGTTTTGGCTACACTTTATTTTGAAGGTCCCCCTTTGAAATTCTATTGTCTCTATAAGTAACTTTGCAACTACACGTCAACTAACTCTCATTAGAGAAGTAGTAAACTGTTAAGTTAGGGTTAGTAGAATAATTTAACATATACAGTACTTGCAAAGTTACAACAGAATTTTAGTCAACACAATATTTATTTATTTATTTATTTATTTATTTATGTGTGTGTGTTTATTTGTTGATTTATTTATGTGTATGTATTTATTTATGTGTGTATTTATTTATGTGTGCATTTATTCATTTATTTATTTATTGAATTCGAAATATAAACTCGCAATTCCGAGAGAAAAGTCTAAATTGTGTGATGTAAACCGATTTAAAAAAAAATAAAAATCTGAATTGTGAGATATAAATGTGCAAATTTCAGAAAATAAATGCGAGAAAGTACTACACTGCAAATCTAAGAAAAAGTTTGAATTGCGTGATATAAATATATTGTGAGAAATAAACTTGCAATTCTGAGAAAAAAAAGTTGGTAGTGTAAGATTAAAACTTGAAATTTTGGGAAAATAGGCAGAACTGTGAGATAAAAATGTAAAATTGTGAGAAAGTCACACCTGTGTTGTCGCGCAATTCTGAAAAAAGAAAAGGCTGTATGGTGAGATGTTAACTCAAAATTGCGAGAAAAAAAATAACTATTATAAACTTGCAATTTCTAAAAAACAAAAAGTCAGAATTAATTTTTTTTTTAAAATGTAAGGAAAAAAAGATTGAATTGCGAGACAGCTCAAAATTACCTCAAAATTGCGAGATATAAATTCGTAATTGCGAGAAAGGCGGAACTATGTTATAATCTATATATTAAATATATGCTTTAATAAAATAAAAAGTTAGCATTTGTGAGCTATAAACTTGCAGTTCTAAGAAAAAAAGGCAGATCTGTGAGCAATAATAATTACAAAAAAAGCATAATTGTTTAATCAAAATTGCGAGAAGTAAACTGGAAATTGTGAGTCAGACTTCTCAATTATTATTATTTATTTTTTTAACTTATTTTTTCTTATATAAAAGGTGCTTTCAGTTATGTTTTGACCAGTGAACTCACCCCTGGATTGGACTCTTGTTGTGTAAAATGTGATGAGACATTACAGTTTCATGGGGGTCGCCATCTTTGATTTTTCTTTAGTCACTGTCACTATGGTTACAGGTGATAGTCATGAATAGAATTTGCAGACAGTACTTTCTGTGAACCGGACATTTCAATACTCACACCTGTAAGTACTGTAAATGTGGTTGTCAATCCCAAACACTGACAGTCTGAATGTTGCTTGTAGTTCATTTCAGAGCCAGCAGGAAATATTTGGTTCCTCACAAAATAAATCTTTTAATGTAGCGCACAACTTTTATTTTACTTGCCTAATGGTGCTTTTTGTCATTTTAGACAAAGGTAAGTCACGGGTTTGAAATGACTGGGTAAGTAAATTATTCAAATTGTCTTTTTGTGGTTAACTGTTACTTTAACAGAATGGTATTGGCAAGTGTGCACAAACATAAATTACGGTCTACAAAAAAAGATATGAAGAAAAAAATAAGCCATTTTAAGCCATGTTTTATGGATGTTTTGCAGAGACACAGGATGGTTTAATTGAACGTTTCAGATGCCATCATCTGCAGTCTTCTTCAACCTCATCTTCCAGTGCTAGCTCAAGGAAAACATTTATCATGAGACTTTATCCACACTCTGTAATAGTCAACCCAAAATTGGGTCGCAGGTCAGTTCTGTTAAAAACACTCATGACAGTTTGTTAATGTTGGCAAATTGGTTGCAAATTCATATAGCCTCACTCATACATTTCCGTACGTTTTGCTTGCATCCACTGATGGTTGGGTTTAGGAGTAGACCTTCATGCTTACTGTCATTCAAAAAATTGAATCCATACGAATTCATACCTTGTAAAATAGTTGTTGTTGTGATAGACATGAACAAAAAGACTGACAAGTTCTACTCGTGAAATGGTCACATTTAATGAACAACTTCTCATTTTATATACATCTATAAAAAGAACCCAGATACAGGTTACAAGAATCTAAAGCTAATACATACATTCTTAAATAATAAACTTTTCTCATGTTAAAGATACATATCATAGTTTACAAAATATGATCAAGGAAAATTAAGCAATTATGAAGGTTTGAAGAAAAGGAAAAAAAAAAAAAGCAAACCACAAACAAATAAAAAAATCTACGGTTCTAAAATTATATTTTATTCAATGATAACCAAAACAAAGCAAAATAATATTTCTTGAAGAAGGTAGTATTAAATTGTGATACTGACTAGAAAAGTCTGCAAAAACAGATGGTGAAAGGCAAAAAGAATGAAAAGATGTTTCTGGACGGTGCTTAATCTTCAGATGGTCTGACATGACACATTGTTCTTCCTGTTACAAAAGGCGGTCCAGAACAGTCCAAACCAATTTGTTATTTACAGTTTCAACTTCTCTGTGTTCAGGGGCCAAAAAAAAAGATAAAAGAAAAATAAGTAAACAAAAAGAATACAACAGATATCAAATGATGGCCTTCAAAATAAATGTTACTCCTCAGTCTTTGATGCTCGTGAAGATTTCGTACTGCCAGTTTCAATCCCTTACAGACACAGGCTTGGGGAAGCTAGGGATCATGGGAAAGAAGAAAAACCAGTCCAAGTCTTTGGCATGATGAGTTAGCTGTATGTCGTGGAAATCGATGTTACACAAAATGAGCTTTTTCTGCCCTTGGAACAGTTTGAATGATCGAAATAGGGTGAAAAATCTTGTGACAAACAAAAATGAGGTGGATGCATTTTGTTTTGTTTTGTTTGTTTGTTTTCTTGCCAGGCAGGTGAGTCCCGTGTCCCCAAATCTTTTGCTCCCCTGGGGTTCGGTTCCTGTGTCTGTGTCTGGTCTTCCATCAGCTGTCATCGTCAGAGATGTCGAAATGTTTTATTGTTCTTTTGTCTTCCTTTTGAAAATGTCAGCGTTTATAAATCTTTCTAGGTCTTTTTTTCTTTCGTGAGAAAAATAACTTGAATTAAATTATCAATGCACGATATCTATTAACATGTGCAAAATAGAAATAGAAGACTCCTCATTTTTTTTTCCACAGGAATGAAGCTTACACATCTGAAAAAGAAGAAGAAAAGAAAATACGTTAGCTTTGTGCTATCATTCATATATTTACTTCAAGGGCAAAAATATATCTTGCAAAAAAGTTTAATGATAACTATAGTATCCTCCAAAATATTTTGTGTTACTATTTAATTATTATTATTATTATTAATCATTTTTATTATTTTTTATAATAATAATAATAATAATTATTATTATTATTATCATTACTACTACTATTATTATTATTATATATTATTACAGTACGATTGAGACTAGTTATAAAATAGATAAATCTAAATAATATTGTAGAAAGTTTCTATTAGAAAAGAAAAACTTATTGAAAAGCTGAATGTTTAAAGGAACTCAAAACATGTATAACATGTAAATTATGATATTTTGACAGAAATGACTCTGTACTCTCTACTCTGCTAAATAATAATAAATATTTGTGTGAAGAAAGTTTATTTTTAGAACCACTGATTGTTTGCATTCTGACATCATTGCCTGACAATTAAGCACATTTCCCCCCAAAACTAATTGTACTCAGCTATATTGCAGCCAGACATCATTTCTATTAATCCCAGTAGTGTTTCTCTTTATATTCTCATTATCAAAGTAATTGTATATACCTACCATTTATTTATTTGTTTGTTTGTTTGCTATAAAAGTACAAAATCAGAATGGCCCTAAAGTAGGCTTCATTTTCTTTACACAAAATAGTTTAATATTTCTTTCTGATTTTAGGGTGAAATACGACCTGGACATGCAGTTGACAGGTTTTGTGCGAATCACCCATATATACCTTCTGAATCCTGGAACGGCTGCTAGATTTATTCACCATGATAGTGTAACTTCAAATAAATGCCACAGTCGACTCCTTAAACGAATTTGAAAGCATTCCCCAACAGAGCACTTTTATACAGCGGTCAGCCTATACAGCATAAATTACCAACACAGTATTGCAAATGAGAACAAACAGGGGCCAATGAAAACAATATCCAAATGGCTCCGACTTCATGCCAGTGGGAGGATGTAATCGGTGAGCAGCCACCCGTGATGTTGCCTTTAATTTTGTCTTGGCCTGTTATGGACTGACCAATTAAATCTCGCTCAGAACAGCTAAGTGTGGAGGAATAAGGCGAAGGTATTTCAGCGTGTACGTGGCCGTCTCGGGAGGACGAACACATCCTACCCCCGAGGCGCTATCATACACTTCCTCCTGCCTTCCAGCTCCATGCATGAGCTTGCTTTAATTAGAGATAGGCTCGTTATGCCGTGTTGCTGAGTTGGAGATAACAGGAGTGCTGTAAACATATGGCCCGAGCGCTAATGAATCTCAGGCTTGTTACTCGACTCTCTTCTCCTGCTTTCTGACACGTGCAGGGGATCGATGAGGTTTATGTGGCTGTAAGCAACAGTAACCGGGTCCGTCCCTCAGTTTCTCAGGGGTTCTGGGTGGATTGTGCTGGTCTAATGAGCCGATGGTCTCTAGTTGGGTGTCCTGTATTGTAACGTGCTGTCAACAATCTCTACAGTTTTTTTTCAGGATGGAAGCCACACTGAAACGGTGTCTAAGAGTGTCCATTTCACATAATTACCAGAAAACCCAATAGTCTTTGTTTTGAGAGTGAAACTCTTCCAGTAGTCTGCCGATATCTAGTCCATTAGATGTAGTACTTATGACTGTCAAGAGCGATACAAAATCACATTCTGGAAGTACTGTGAGCACTTGGAAAACGCATAAGTCTGAGCGGAGTTAAGACCACCACCTCCAAGACTCAAACCCAGATCCACTAAGACCTAAATCAAAACCAGACCCCCTAAGACCAAGATCAATACCAGACCCGTGAGACTACGATCCATACCAGCCTCCTTAAGACCCAGAACAATACCAGACCACTTTAATACCTACATCACTACCACATCCCCATTTACCCAGACCAGATCTCATAAGATCCAGATCAATACCAGAACCACTAAAGCCGAAAATATACTTCTCTTGTTCGTGTTCTGCTCGGGCTCACGGACTGTTTGCATGATTACATTTTTGTCATCAGTTTTGTCTGATGATATCTGCGCACACCGTCCTAGTTTTTGTGTCCGCGTGGTCTTGTGCACAGACAACAGCGCATGTGGGAGTGATTTGAGCCCTTGAAAACAACGGTCTAGAAATGGAGCTTTAAGACCCAGACCAGAGCCCCTAAACCAATACCAGCCCACTGTGATCCAGACAAATACCACAACCCTAAGATCCAAACCTAGACAAATACCAGACCCACTAAGATCTAGATCAATAGCAGAACCACTAACATCCAGATCTACACTAAGACTAGACCTCTCAAGGCCTGCATCCAGACTAAGGGTGCATTTACACGACATGGTTTTTTACTAAAAAATATATATTTTAGTCCATTCTTTTACACGACAACAGCATTTTGGGGGCCTAAAAAAAGGCATGTTTTAGTACTTTGTTGTCGTGTAAATGTACCTTAAGACCTGAGAAAATGTTGTCTATTTCAATGAAGTGAATCGAGAGATTGGTACATTTATTGCAAAGTTTTTGAAGATTTTTTTGTAAGGCATGTTTTAGTACTTTGTTGTCGTGTAAATGTACCTTAAGACCTGAGAAAATTTTGTCTATTTCAATGAAGTGAATCGAGAGATTGGTACATTTATTGCAAAGTTTTTGAAGATTTTTTTGTAAATGGGCTGAGTAGCCATTCTTCTGAATTCTTTCTAAGGGTACGGCGATACAATGCCAAGTAGTGGTTGAGTTAATAACCACTATTAGTACCTTGGAAATAGTCTGTTGTGTCTTGTCTGAGACCCAGATCCTGATTAGAGATGCGGTCACATTTACCTTTATAAAAATGCAGTCATTCCAATAGGAAACGATTGGGAATTTCACATGAGGGTGAAAGATTTCCCCATGCAGATTTCACAACGGGCTCAAGTTGGTCTTGTTGATTCGCCATGTTGACCAATAGAAATCTGCTTGGTTTGAAAATGATTTTTGTGTGAGCTGTGCTTCATGCCTTACTGCACTATTGACAATGAACCTTTTTGTCTGCAAACCTTTGCCAAAGATTTGCTAATGTGACCACGATTCAAGACTAATTGAACATTTATACAGAGTTCTGGCATGAAACTCTAGATGGCGCAGTCCGATAGGTCTAACTCAATCTGACCTAATGACATCATTATCACATGGCACAGCTGATTGGTTCTCTCCTGTATCGGTAGCTAATGAGCTCGCTGCTCAACGTTCAAATATATGACTAGTACTTGCTGTAGCAGTTGCAGCTTGCTTCAGAAACCCTCCACCTTCCCCAGCTCCACCTGTATAGATCTGCTACGAGGTGATTCATGAATGCTATATGGGGGTTATTTCATGTATGTTATATTTGCAGCAGCAATATTTCTTACATGCTCACAGCAGCATGTTGTGGATGTATTGGCAGTAGCAATTCTCGGTACTTGCTCTGCCGCAGCAGCAGCGTAGCGGATCTATTCTGCCAAGACCAAATACATTAACATTGTCATGTACATTACCATGCCAATCCCTCCGAGAGTTGTCATGACAGAAATATGTTTTGGTGAACTTTGGGTTTTTGGCTTTGAGTTTTAAAACCCAAATCAAGACACTGAGTAATGAGACCCAGACCAAGGATTATTTTTATGTGGTCTACAGAGGTCTGAAGACCAAAACCACAAAATCAAGACTCTCAACTCTGATAATAAGGGGAACGAACATTACACAAATTTGGTTAATCACCGAGTTACAATATCTCTTCAATAAACTATGTGCATAATGACTATTTGTTCGTTATTGGTGTCTCAAGTTTATTGTGAGCTTGTATTGTACATAATTAGGAAAAGTGTAGTCCAGCTGCATGAATAATGTGGTAAGCCTCTTATGATTTATAAATGCTATTTCAGAGATTATGCTCATACATTGCTCACTGTTCATGCCTCATGCATTGTTCACATTGTTTCACCGAAAGCTCATGATCCTTTCTCACATAAGCACAGTGAATGAGATGCATGGAAATAGCATTGCAGTGAGGTCACGCACCACATGATGGACAGCAGGACGCAGGCCAGGAGGAGGTGGGTTGACCAGAGAAGGGTGGAACAGGCCGCTGTGGGTTCACCCACTCGTGGTGCGGCTGAAGGCGGTCCAGGGGTGGTTTCTGCCAGGGGAGAAGAAAATGGTCATTATTTCTAAGTATTTCAACAGGAACGGGTTTATACATCCACAGTTCAGGTACTAAATATTAATGAATGACATGAAATTACATTTTATTAATCTATTCATTTCTTCAAAATATTTAAATGCTATTCATGCATGCAATGACTTGAATACAATAAGCATTCTTTTAAATGTATTATCCTTTTCTTTCTTTCTTACTTTTGGCTATAAAGTAAAAAAAAAAAAAAAAAAAAAAAAATCCTCTTTTAGTGTGGTCAAGCGGTGCAACCAACAACACCAACACCCTACATATCGTGACTATAAGTCAAGGTCAATAAGTCTTTTAAAATATTGAATAGTTTGACATTTCTTTTATCACTAGGCAAGGTATTTTCAGGTTATTAAATGTCATGTGGTGCAACCATGTCGATGCATCCACAAAAAAATAACATTTATCCACTAATAATTCTAAACCTTTAGAATTATTAGTAGTTCAAGTTCAAGTTCAGTTTTATTTCTAGAGCACATTTAAGCATGAATAAAGCCCGACCAAAGTGCTGCACAACATACAATAATATATAACAAGGAGAAGATCAGTAAACAAATAGAAACAATTCAAAATCCATACAACAACAAAAGCAGATTAAAACAATTCAAAGGCACATATTATTACATGTTAAAAGCCAGAGAGAAAAGATGTGTTTTAAGATATGACTTGAACTCAGATAAAGTGGAAGCCATTCTGATGTGAACTGGTAAGTTGTTCCGTAGTTGTTAGTAATAATTAAGATACAGTATACACATTCATATATATTCATAGTGTAAGAAAAGTATTGTATTACTTTTTTCTTTGATTATTCCACTTTTGCTTGATGGTGTATAGACATTAAATGGTAAAAAAGTCATTAAAAATTAAATGGATAGATGTTGGAAAACATTAATAAAATGTATTTAATATTCACTCACCCCTAACAGTACACAAAAACAAAATGAACTGTGATTGGTCACTTTACATATCAGTTAGGCAGTCTCTTCCTGTCTAAGTGGGCGGGCCTTTGCCCAACTATTGGACCAGACTTTAAACCAAGAGTCAAAAGTCTGGTTACATGAGACATTCATCGCAATAAAATAAACTTTATATCTGTAACTCGCAATACAACAGCATTAGAGCAATATTTTGAGTTAACTAAACAACTGCTCCACCACCTCCTGAACATGTTCTTGTTGCGCTATTGTAAATGCAATTGAACTTCACAACTGTAAGTAGATATTAGTTATTGTTTTAATATTGCCTGTTTATTGTATATTTTTTTTTTTTGTGTGCAGTGTGTGTGACGATGTGTGAAATAACTCCATAAAAAACATTTCCGATCAAGTAGAAAGAGCTGTCTTGCGCAATGACTCATCTCAAATTAAGCAAATAAAATGCTGATATAACAAGCCAAGGAGGAATTATTACAAGGACGTTCTGCTGTTTTACCTAGGAGAAAAGAAAGAAAAGCTTTCAGAGAGGGAGTTTTGACACACGACTTACAAAACTAGCATGCAATTCTGCTGACTTTTCGATTCTTTCCTCCGTTCCAAGTATAGTGTGGATTAAATACGCTCAGTGCATTAAGGGGGTTAAAAACTCAATACCGTCTGCTGGATCAAACCGAGCAGGGCAGCTGTCACTAGATATTAATTCTAATAACAGTCATAAGTTGTCAGTGCTATTTTAAAACAAGATGTAGATAGGCTATCATAGGGTTTTCAAGTCAAGATTCTCTTTGTCCGCCCCAAAAGGACCACAGTATCAGTACTCTTAAATCCCAAATGGGACGCAATGAAAGTAATATTGCATATAGGCTATCAGAGCTTTAACTTTAAATATTGTTGTGTCTTTTTTGGCCAATGAATCATTGAAAATACAAACATTAAAGGAGTTTGTAACCATAAATGTGCAAAAGCATACTAAAATTAATTACTGTTGATCTGTACTTTCTGCAGACTGGGTTGACTAACACTATGGAATCCCAAAAATTGGACTCTTTTTATTATTATTATTTTTATTTAAAAAGTGTTTTGCTTTCATCTGTCATCTCTGACGACATTTTATTTATTAATTTTAATCAGAGAACGATTTCACACTGGTTATCTTAGCAGGGTAAAAAACAAAATGTTTTTTCAAATTAATTATTAAAAAAAAAAAAAACTCCCATTCTAATCACTCATGTGTTCTCCACTGCAAAATAAATATATTTTTACATTGAATCTGCACTTTATTGTTTATGATGAAAGAATTTGCAAGAGTGCAGAACTCAGAGTACACTCTTAAAAAAATTATATTGCAACAACCCTAATGTGAATGATGGGGTAGCGGTACAGTCCATAAAATATGTTGTACAGTTGAGTACTGCACATGGATCCATAAACTGAGGAGACGTGACTTTGAAGGCTTCTGTGATTGAGGAGATGAAAACATGGTCTTTAAGATTAAGTGGCATTCGAAAGCCATTTATTTCTATCATATGATGTATTTCAGGAAAACAGAATAGTCAGGGAGAAAAAAAATAGCATACTTTTATTCCAGGAACTGATTGGATGGTGAAAAGTGGATGTAGAATGGATTGTAAAGAACAACTCTCAGAAGGCTTTGTGACTGGATGCCGAATGTTAAAAGTTACCAAGACAATCTTAGTCTATCTCATTTTGTTTTCTGCTGGATAAATGGACTGAGAGCTGAGCACAAGTTGACCAGGAACATGTGCTGAAAAGGTAAACAGGCTTGATTTGAGTTCATACTGACCGAGCAGACTAAACATGGCTTTTGCTGGTGTCAGATTAAATGTGACACCTCCTTTTTAATTTTCATCCATCAATTTAACAGAACCTGATGTCAATTCCTCATTAACCTCAGAGTGCATCAACTATTCATTTGTTGTTGAAGCTCTCTGACAGCAGAGGGCAGCGTGACTTTGAGATGCAGGGCTACAGACACTGTCTCCTCATTATCAGCCACTATTATTGTTTTATGAGAGAACAGAGATCATGGAGGGCACTGCCATTACAGTGAATAGGAGAGTAGGTGTGCGTACGGTTGGCAGCTCATGCATACCTGGGATAATGTCGCTCTCGGTGGTGGAGGTGATGGGCTTGGGTTCCTCCATCCAGGGGGTGGAGTGGACCGCCACGCTCCAGTCGCTCCAAGTGCCGATCTCCATGTCCTTGGCCGCCAGTTGGATGATGTACTCTTTCCCTGCGTAGGCATCCGTAATGGTGTGGGAGATGCTGTCAGAGAGCTCCACCTGTCAATCAATAACAAGAGAGCCAATCAGGGATATGGAACTTATGGGAACGATGTGTGCTGTTGAGATGATTACATACGAGATACACGCCATGAAGAATGTTTCATTAGAGGTGTTTGTGGTGAAAGGGCTGATCAGCGGTTTTTGGGTGAGTGAGGGGGGGCATAGCTAACAGGAAATGATAGGTACAGGGGTGGCTTGAGTTTATGATGCACGCTGGATTTGAACATGCATCTTCCACATAAACAAGATGACATTTCATTCAATTTTTACATGAATACAAACATTAATATAGGAAAAACAAACAAATATATAAATCAATAAAATTGAA